TCATTCTCAAATCCTCGTCTTGAAAATCAACCATTTTGGGGTTCATCTTTGAGGCTGAAATGAATTTTGCAAACCAACGTCGGGCTGTTTTGGCAGCGTTTTGGTTAAAATTGAATCCGTAGAGAAAATTTGGCTGAAAATCGCCTGATGACATTTTATATCGATGGGCTGAAAAGTGTCAAAAATATAAAATTTGGAAAAAATAATCAGCATTAAAATTCCCTATCGATCAGCATATACCAAGACACAGTAGAATGAACATTTATCGACAACTGGAGCAAAATAAACACATAACCTTAAAACGGACAAAACTTCTGAAACAACCTAATGATATAATATCAAGGAGCACACAAAACTGAGATAGTGGAAATGTTTATACCTTTATCTAAAAGAAGTAGAGCTACACTCTGATGGTCATAGTGGGAAGCAACGTGTAATGGAGTAACTCCATTTTTGCCCTGAGCATCCACAGGAGCTTCTTTCTGTAGAAGTAGTTTAGCCACTTTGAGGTGACCGTATTTGGCTGCCAAATGAAGAGGAGTGAAACCCTTTTTCGTTGTGGCATCCAAGGAGGCTCCATTGTCGAGCAGCACGGCCGCTACCTGAAAAAACCAAATTGAATTGATAGCATAAGATACGTACAAGAAAAATAATTTTCTTTCACCTCATCCTGGCCTTCCTTAGATGCTATGTGGAGAGCGGTGTACATGTCTTTGGTAGCATTGTCAACTTTGGCACCATGCTGGAGAAGTAGCATGACTATGTCTACATTTCCTAGTCGTGAGGCTATATGGAGAGGAGTTTGTTGTTCTCTAGCCCTTGCGTCAACTTGAGCACCATTTCTGAGTAGGATACGTATGATATCGGTCTGGAAGAAAATAATTTAGTAACAAATATATCTTGAACTCATCAGGATCATTCTCACTTGATTAGCCCTGGCGGCTAAATGTAATGGAGTTTCTCCTCTAACAGTCGGAACGTCTGGGTTGGCATCGTGTTGTAGTAGATAGATTACAATGTTCATGCAACCCATGAAACTAGCTACATGGAGAGGAGTTAGACCACTTTCTGTTGTTGCACCGATACCTTCAAAAAAATAATTGGTGAGGAAATGCTCTAATACAGTTATGCGCATACTATACAATTTTTTTTCGTACTATTGAAAAGTTGATACTGAAATGGGATGGATAGAATATCATGTCAAGTGTGGGAGTATTTGATGTCTCGGAATGATACTCGTAGTTGAGTATCGATGAATATGTGGAATATTTTAATATTTTTCCCTTTTTATGGAAGTAGGTGAATTTTGTTCTGTTTCCGAACCTATTAACAAGGTTTTGAGTTGACTTCCACTGTATTCTCGAAAGATAAAATGGACTATGCTGGAGTCGAGATATAGCCGAACTTGATCAAGAAAGACATTGGTTACAGGTTACATTCTAATAGTTGATTCGTGCACACTTTTCATTCTAATCTGTTAATCAGTATGGATTCTATCCCGTGGGTTGGGCTACCTATCAGGCGCGTCCCCAGGTGGCGGATAGGGTAAGGGGAACTAAAACCCCCCAAAAGCCTTTGCAAAACATACCACCGTGGACCAACCTACACAAACTGAGGTGTAAGGAATCGTACCGACAGCTGATCGATCCCTTTGGTGAACTGGGCGAAACCTCATTGTAATCAGCCTACCTCTGGTAACGCAGGTCTCTACCTGAGGTGACCAACTCTTTCCTTGCTACTCGTGGGAACACACATGAATGAAACAATACAAAAACAGAAACAACAAAAACGAAAACCAATCCCGAAACTCGAAACTGGACAGAAGTGCTCACCTCAATCTAAGGCGGTAGCTGTGGATGAACAAAAATGTCCACCCACACCGCTTGGAATGAGGCTGGACATAGCAGACTATGTAAATTGTAATTGTAATTGTAAATTATTTGAAGAATTTTTGTGCTATGAAGTGCCGTACCCATGTCTTGTAGAAGCTCTTTTTTTAACGTTGAAATAATCCTCATATTTGAATGTTTCTCTGACTTCTCTGAATAGCCTCAGATATTACTCTCTGGTTCTATCAAGAACTTGCGTGCCATTGAAGGTAATGTTATGGCTGCCCTCTGAGAGAACGTGAACGTGATTGACCATTTTGGTAACTTTTTTTCCTCAGTCAAACGTGTTTCAACGCTTTTTTTTGTGTTCCTGATGCAAAATGAACCACAACTATACGGTATTTGGTATACTCCTAGGGTACGTGATGGATTCCTGGGGTCTTTTGCTGACCATAGACTATTCTTTGTCGTTCTTGTGGACTTGAAAATGGCCCCAATTCCATGATTCTTGAGGAACCTTCCCATTTGATCCGTCACACTTCTAGGACGGAAAAGTTCTTCTATTGGCAGTTCCCTCCCGTATCACCAGTGTCCGAACTGTCCCTTGGACATGTCGAAGCATTCGTGGTGGAACTTGGAATTTAGGACCCAAACAAATTCGATTGATTTATGTAATGATTGTTGAGATCAACGAACACTTATAGTGCAATTGCCTGGTGGCCGAAGGCTTTACAGAAATCGGCCCAGGAGAAACTCTCTGGCTTACACAGACAGGCTTGTCTGGCTAACAGTGGTGCCATCAGTATCACACTGTCAGTGGCCATAGAAATCCTTCTAGATCTACCTCCTCTTCACATTTTTCTGGAGAGACAGGCTAGATGGACTGCATATAGACTTGTGCACATTGCCAATTGCACAAATCAGTTTAATGCGAAGTTCAATCGACTGTTGGTTGACACTGGAAGTCAACCAACAGTCGGTTGAACCAACGGAAAATAACTTTTGACTGTATGCCTCCAACTGTCAACTACTCTCCAACTGCCTTATGAAGTATGGTTCCCGAGTAGAGAGGACTGAATTCTCCGGGAGAAGGAAATAATGAGAGCAGATAATTGTTGGTTCACAGATGGATCAAAAACACCTTTCGGTTCTGGTGCAGGTGTTTTCAGTCGCACACCCATGACAGAGATATCAACCTGCCTAGGAACCTATGGGACTGTATTTCAAGCGGAAATTTACGCTATTGAATTATGTGCGGAGAGATTGAAACAATCCACCTCATACACAAGTAAATGAAAATATTTTCGGACAGTCAAGCGGCGTTGGAAGTTCTTTGCTCCTACTGAGCAACTTCTAAATTGGTAGCAAATTGACAAAAATGACTCTCCCCGATAGGATGATTTGACAGATTGACTCTGGTCTGGATTCCCGGCCACAATGGCCTGGAAGGCAATGAAGTTGCTAAAGCGCATCTCAGCATGCTCCAGTGTACAGACAAATTCCAAATTAGAACCGTTGCCATTTCTAGGCTGAGATCTGAGACTTCCAACATGTTAACAAAATAAATACTTTGACAATAAATAGTATATCTCCACCGAGATCGCTCATGTATATCGCTTTTACGAACGAACATGTCAAAATAACGTATTCAAGTAACAATTTATTGTGAGATTTTCACTAAACAGTTTTACAAAATCATTACATGTATTTCAATATACAATTGCTTCCTCAGGCCTTCTAGAAGTACTCTTCTGAGAGGCATGTGTTTTATTAGTGATTGGTGTCGCCGTACGTATTATTGAACCATGGAACTCATTTCGCATGGTACAATAACAACTTGTATTCGAGACATTGTTATTGTTACGTTTTTCCCTTGGGTTTGACAATAATTGACTTCACTGTACAATAATTAAACCTAACTTTATTTCACTGTTGATACAACCAAACACTTGGTTGGAACTTCAACCAATACTCAAATGTATATCGCCCTATTAGATCGATCTGCAGGTAGCATACCGTCCGCTGGACTTGACTTGATTAGTGGATATGTACGTGGGTAACGTTTATATATGGCGATCGAAGTACCTCGAAGGTGATAAGGAATTCGCCAGTAATCCATCAAAATGACGCAAAAACTAAAACAACCGCAAAACGCCGGCCAAGATAGACGTGATCTTGGCCATGTCACGATTGATTTAGAACGGCCAGCGGCGGTCGGCGCTTCCTTTTTTTTAGGCGATGATTCACGACAGTAATATTATCCGATATCATTATTTGAGTCAAATCGTCCTGGTTTCTTGGCTTTCTTCTTAAGTATTCAAAAACACCATTTTCGATACTTTTACACGGCATAGTTGAATTATTCATCAAACTCACTTCATTTCTTCGTATAGTCGCAGTCGTATAGTCTTGAAAATTATGTTCTTTTTTGAACCTTCAAAATTTCAACAATACACGAGAATGTCGATATCCAGATGACAAGTTATCCCATCGAATGATGAGTTTTTAGAGACTTCTTCATCTTCAGTTCGTACCCGAAGAGGCAAATGGGAGGGGGACATTTGTTACAGTACGACAGAAAATAAAAAGAGTTCTGTTACAAAATGCTTTGCTATCAAAATATGAGAATATCTTCCTAATAAGGTCATTTTCCATACTTACTTGCACCATGCTTGAGAAGTAACTCCACCACTTTTATCCGATTCTTTTTGCAAGCTATGTGCAACGGGGTAAATCCATTCAGGGCCCTCGCGTTTGCGTCGGCCTGTCTGTCCAGAAGCAGCTTTGCAACACGCACATGGCCACAATGTGCAGCTACATGCAACGCTGTGAGATAATCGACTGTAACTTCGTCAACAGGTGCTCGGTGGTAGAGTAGAATCCGAGCGGCATCAACATGATCGCCTTGGGCAGCCATATGAAGAGGAGCCAAACCATTCTGGAAAAAAATGTTAATGGTAAGATCTCAACAATAATAAGGATATTCAATTGACATTCTTGCGCGCAGTACACCATCCAGTTGGATACCACCAAGGGCGTTTTTTCACCATTAAATAAAAGGCAATGATCAGGCCTGTACTTCTAGCCGGGCTTGACTTAGCTTATGCGACAGTGAGGTGATCAGTTTCACTTTTTCCAAAATACCTACCTATTTGTCTGATATCATTCTACAACCCTAAAAATTAATTTCAATTGAAGAAAACATATTACAATGACAGCTATCTAGAATCTAGAGGATTATCAAATGTCTACAGCTTTCTCAAAGACTTGCCTTTAAAGAGGGTAGAGAACTGTTTATGTATCAAAACCCAGATGCCTCGTGGTTTGATTAGGCAGAAAAACTGCTGTATTGTAATATGGTCAGAATTCAATGCTCACTTAAATATTTGAGGGAAAATATGAACTTCCACATGGAGAAGAATTAAAATTCAAAACCTATGTCCCTTCACAACCACCATGGCACATCTTCCTTCGCAGGAAAGACTTCGATTTGAAGCCTTATCCATGAGAAAAATCGTGCTTGGTTTGACCAATCGAATCGAAAAGAAAATCCATGAATATACAGAGTATTCAGAAAATGCAGAACACAGACTAATCTATCGGGTAAATATATTAGAGACATCAATATGTATGGCCAAGTGACCGATTGATGAAGTGGGTCAAAAGAGATTACTACAATTTGAAAAACGTGACGTTAAGAACAGATTGAATCGGCAACCATAACACTGAATTCTTGTTGTACCTTCTTCAATACCAATTCAAGTATACGCCTTGAGAAGGAAACAAACGTAGCGATGAAATTTAAAAAGACGAAAATTTGAAAAGTCAAAAACATAACATAATTATTATTGAAGTTTCTGAGTGACAGAACCGAGCCAACTGCAAAAATCAAATCCATGCCAAGTTTAACGACAACTTCAATTGGGAAAACATAACACGTGTCTCTGGCGACCCAAGCAACCCACTGCGATGAAGGATAATAAAAAAAGGTGCAAAAAATAAATGGATATTGAACCTAATGTCTGCTCAGCCAAACGTTGATGACGACACAAACTCTGGCTGAGGAGAATATCTTGATACACAAACCAAACGACCACAGAAAATAATAAAGAGACATACACAAGAGGCAACAGGTATAATAGAAACCTAAAAAACATAAGACGACAATGAATCAGTGTACCTTAAACCTATATAAGATAAGGCCAAGGAAAGTTCATTTTGTGGTGAAAAGTAACGGAATTTTCTTACAGAAAGATATTGGTTTTACTGTCTCGACCTATCTGACATTTTTTCGAATTCAAATACCTGAATTGAATCAACAAAATTTCAGGATATACCTGAAATCGAATAGATAGGTTATGGCTAACCGAAATATCGATTTCCGCCATTGAGGATGAACTTATATTTCATACAATAGCACTCTATTGCATAACAGTGTTAAGAATGATATCAGATTCAGTTCCATAACGAACATTTGGAGTACAAACTGAATAGGAAAAAGTGATTTTTTCATAATTCAAAGTTCATATAAAAGAAGTTGTTTATGAGAGTAGTTGTTCTGAGAGGACTTTTTTTTATCGGAGTTATCAGTGGGAATGGACATTTAGAAACATGATATCAATGACAAGTTAAGATTCTTCAATTGGAGGATTACACATTTGGGCTCAAATTTAGAAAAGTTCATATTCCCATCCAGGCTTTACTCAATTTTGACTGATTGTGTTGTAGTCAACGACCACAATATATAATAATGATAATAGTAATAATAATTCCAATCTTACTCTACTCGTTTGGAGTAATGAAGTGGACTCGGGAGGAGCTGTATCAACTCGACATAAAGACTTGAAAAATGATGTATCTCTATAGGAGTTTGCATCCCAAATCGTCCGTTCCACGGTTTTACTTCCCCGTACGATCGAGTTTGGAGTGTGTACATGACAGAATGGTACTGGATATAGCCTGTAACTACGTCAGAAGTTCGGATTCCCTTCTCTGCATGATCCGTGACCATGAGAGAGCAGGAATTGAAGCATTTCTCTTCAGGTGAGCTGCCCGAGCAGCTGATGAACTCGGTTTAGTTTTCGACACTGAACGAGGTGACCACAACTCTGTCACCGAGATGGAACCCATTCAGCAGAAAGCTCATAGAAAAGCCGCAGGGATCACCTCACTTCTGCGGAAACACAAGGATGAGCCAATGCATGGGGGTTTCTTCAATAAAATTGAAGACCTTGTCTTATCGCCTGACTTTCGCTTTCCTCAGATCGAGTGGGCTGAAGTCGGAAACTGAGGAGTCATCATGGCTTGCCAGGATGGTGTCTTCAACACCTCAGTCTACCGCAGTCGCATGATGGGTATAGAGGTTCCTGATACAAGCTGCAGGGCCTGCCGGGAGGCGCTCGAGACCGTGATGCACTTGCTATCAGCATGTTCAGCATATGCGGTCTGAGCCTATATCCATCGACATAACGTTCGGAAACTGAGGGGTTCATCATGGCTTGCCAGGATGGTGTCTTCAACACCTCAGTCTACCGCAGTCGCATGATGGGTATGGAGGTTCCTGACACAAGCTGCAGGGCCTGCCGGGAGGCGCTTGAGACACTAATGCACTTGATATCAGCATGTTCAGCATATGCGGTCTGGGCCTATATCCATCGACATAACGCGGCCCTAAGATTGCTATATTACGAGACACGACACCGATGTTGCCCTACGCTCCGGGGATATTGAATCCCTTAGGCTCATACAGGCTAATGAGCCTGATGTAGTCCTTCTCGACCACCAGAGCAAGACGATATTTGTCATGGAGTTTTCAGCTCCTGGCGAGACGAATATCGTCAGAAAAGAGGAGGAAAAACGGATACAATATCGAGATTTTCTTTTCGAACTCCGCAGACTCTATCCAGCTCACTCTGTCAAGATGATTGTTCTGATTATTGGAGTCCTTGGTGGAATGATGTCCTCTCTACTCTCGAATCTTAAAATCATACCGGCTTGCCGCACATATGCAGAAGGCTGTCATTCTTGGCTCACTGTGCTTGCTCAGGGCACATGATTCTTGGACCCAATGATCACTTACCCCACGGTGTGGGGAGTGGTCATTGGTTGATAATGCTGGCGCGCCCTCCCGATTGTATCGGAGCTTCGGGGAATAGAGCCTGACCAGCGCACACTACGGTGAAAAATAATAAAAATAATAATATGATTGTACGTGATTCGATATAGTGACACATCAATGGGGTCATTTGTAGACGAAGTTTCAATTCCCACATTGGTGTTTTTTATTTTTGTAATACTCAATTGGAATTTACATTATTGCTGAACATATCACGTCCCATTTCGAGATCGGAAATGAAACCGTGATATAAAAATAAAATGAAACAAATGAAGTAATCAACATACAAATGTCTGCAGAGAAATAAAAAAGAAATAAAAAAGAGTAGAGACAGATGAAAAATTTAAAAACTAATGAAAAAAATCAAACCAGTGAAGCGGAGAGAGGGAATAGGTTATAAGTGAAAGCTCTCGAGTGATCTATAAATAGTCATCTCTTGAAGACGTAATATTTTCAATGTTTTCTTTTGAATTCGTTATAACTTACTTTCGTTTTGGAACTGATCGGAGCTCCTCTTTCCAGAAGCATATCCACAACCTGTTCGTGTCCACTTCTGGCAGCGCAGTGAAGCGGAGTCAAGCCGTCTCTCGTTTTCGCTTCTATTGTGGCTCCGTGTTCCAGGAGAAGGGCCACCATATTGGCCTTGCCCCATTTGGATGCTACGTGTGTGTGTGTTATTGCGACCCATGCATTCTTTGGTTGTATTTTCGAATTATATTTTGGTCCGATAAGGTTCTCCAGCCCCCTACAACATCAACCTCCCCCTCAATTTGATAACTCATGAGGAATGAGTAGGTATTTGTTGAAATGAGGTGTTAGTAAATTCATTCGTCATTTTCATAATAATCACGCCTTTTTCGAATGAATTTACTATCACACACTCCTGATGCTGCTGCTCTACACTCACTAAGATCGTTTTACCTAATTCAAAATTGGCTGGGTGCTGCACACTTGAACCCCAAACATTAAGGGTGGATCAGCAGTCTACAGGGCCTGATTTCACAGCATGCAACGAAGGACCCAGCACCCAGAAGCCTACTTGAAAGTGTCTCATGCATTTGCATATCTGGATGTTAGCGAGCCTATTAGTGCGTCAAAGCCGGGTTGAAATGCTCCAGCATCTGCAAGAAATGCCGAGGCACCGACTGCGACAATGTCCCACTGTACTCCTCCGACCTGGACACAGATGGTGAGGAAGAGGAAAATACATTCACCTGATCAACCATGGATGAGGTCTACGAGGTTCCACCCATCATGGCACCTGTTCGTGATGAACCAGGACCGTCGAAACGACTAAGATGGACGTGAAGTGAAAGGTTAACTTCTCTTTTCATTGGTCAATTTCTCAATGATTCAGTTGTAATTAAATACTTCACTTGTTTAATAAAAGTTTTTTCCCATACACATATTTTCACACTCTACTGTCTCCTTTATTCCTTCAGTTGATGATCAATTTTGTAATGGGGGGGGGGCTCACAGAAAAGTTCTATAACATTCTACTTCATTTTCATAACAATAACGCCTATTTCGAGTTTTCTGCTAAGCACCATTTGGAAAGAAAACTCTTTTCATTCCATTCACCATAGTTTTGTTTCACTGTATTGACTTGAGGCCTTGATGAAGCTGTAAAAGAATGCGAAAACTCGGCGAATAGGTTGAAATGCTTTTTTTCACATCGCATTGGACTGTGAGGGTTTTGATATGCCTACTCATTCCTCGTCAGTTATCAATTTGGGGGAAGGTTGGGGGAGGGGGATTGGGAGAACCTTATCGGACTCAAATATAATGCGAAAATACAACCAAAGAATGCATGGGTCGCAATAACATACACAAAAGAAGGCGCTATTTGGCTTTTTTACCATTTTGAGAAAAATGGTCCATTATTTCAGATGCTGTAGCTCGCTCCCTATTGGTCGAAGCAGAAAAGTTTGTATATGAAATTTGTAGGGAATTTAATGCTCTACAACTTCTCATTGGTGCTGTTTTTCGCTAAAACCACTTTTTTTCGAGATATTGCGAAAAAACCGAAAAATGTCCGAAAGTTTCGAGGTTTTTCGGCTACCAAAAGTTGTGCCAAGCCCGATTCCGTCACATTTTTTATATTTTAATCTTTATACCCATTAAAACGTAATGAAAAAATAAAATCTTCCACCCCACCTTTTGTAAGGTGAAATCCTCTGGGAACTGGACTATTATGAACAATACGGTTGGCACTACATTTATAATTTGAGTATTTCAGAGAAAATCGTTGATGATTAATAACAGAAGGACGTGATGCATTGTGCAAATAATGCAAAAAGAACGACCTATTTTCGTTTGTGTGTTTGGAATTAGAACAATCAGTGATTTATCCAATAATTTAATGTCTTCTATTAATAAATGGCAGAGCTCTTCACGCCGGCAGGCTCCATATATTCCTTAAATGGTAGCAAATTAAAATATTTTTCATATGACGCCTCATTTATAAACCTCTGGACTTGTTCAAATCTGAGAGTTTTAAATTTTTTGGGCCTATAACTTTCATTTTTCTGCTTTGAGAATGTTATTACCTTGAAATATTTGCTTGTATCAAAAACATTTTTAACCAGCCTACTCGACTTATCATTGAAAACTTGCTTCACAAAGTTGACGAGTTCCATATTTTTGATTTATCTTCTAGATAGGCTAAG